CTGTTACCCTATTTAAAGTATCTGCATACCGGTTTGCTTCTCGTGGTATCCAAACCGAGCTCAACTTTATTGCATTCTCTGTGCAAAATTCATCAAAGAACACAAGCGTTTGTGTGCAAAACCATCTTTCTGCTACCAATATTGAGTATTTGTGTGATATATTTGTTATCCGTGAACACTCTGCTAACCTTACCAGTGAGAATATTGACAAACTTTATCAATATTCTTTTTACAGCCTCGAGCTCTCTCCAGGTCGAACTTTCGGCTTGTTCCGTTAATGACCAACTACCAAACATTTTAATGGTTCGTCCTCTGAACCAGTGGTAACAATATAAAAATAAGGAAATGTGGTATGATTGCCAATGAGGCAACTATCCATCCCTCATCCCTAACAACAAAAAAAGACACTAAGTACAGATCTGAGAGTATTCGCAGAACCACCAAAACCTATACCAGATGCATCACTGAACACATAAAATCTTGTGTTTCGTTATAAGTCAACTGAGTTAATATTCTAGCTTTCTGTTCCCAAAAGCATGCATTCCTTAAATGCGTCCGTACTATAAACTAGTACCTGGGCGTTCCAAATTGCCCTTTGTTATATACATTGATACAAATACCTTGTTCTTAAACGTGACTGATCTAATAAATGCAGCCTACATTGATATAATTTGTCCTACAATACTTGTAATGAATTTCACCCTAAATAGCATAATACCATAGCGAAATTGTGCCCTGAAAACTTCTAAAATTTTCAATAGCTTTTCTATTCTTTTCTCAGTAATTATTATAACCCCTTCTGCCATATCCCAATGAAAGCCCAACTATTCTCAACTTTGAATTGGGGCCCAATTGCACTTCTCTGGTGCAAAAATAAAACCATTTTTTTCCAAATCGGAATGAATTACTTTCACTCGATAACATAGCCTCTTCCATGTCTTTGTCCCCTCCGAGGCCATCGTCTAGATACATCACGATTTTTAAACGTGTACTTCTCCAATATTTGATAACCTCCCCGACTACCTTAGTAAAAATTATTCCGCTAAAACATCCTTTTGAAAGCGAATTTCAGTAAATATGAAGCCACACTACCATAATCTAAAAATTTGTCTGGGAAGAGAAGGAAAACTGTTGAATATCAGGCCAGCGGGACGTCGGAGGTCGATCGACCTCGAAATATTCTGGTACCAAGTGCACCGTTTTGGATAACACAAATTCTTGTCTTTGTTTGCTACTTATTGGTATAAAAGATATATCAGAAAATCGTTTTATGAGCTGTAATCGCATCAAAACGATAGAAATAATTAAAATTAAAGGAACTCTTATCTAGTTTATTTTGTTCTCTCCATTCTCTCCGCTTCTTTGGTACCCAATTCCGGTGGCAATAATACACAGTGATACTTGTCACTGATTATATGAAGGCCTTGTCGCTGTTTAAAGGGGCTTTAGCTTCGATTTTGGAAAAAAATTTAGAATATGATTTTCTTTGTTTCAAACATTTATAAAAGCGGAATTGTGAAATAATATTTCGCTATTAGCAGTCAGTGTGATTCAAGTTTGTCAAAATAAGATCAAAAACATTGGTAATGTATTTATGTCTTGCAGTTCAATAATCATAGAGTTTTACCGGAACTCAACTCATTTGAATGTGTATTCACCCTATATTCAATTTAACCCTCAGCTTGAGATGGATTACACATATGTAAATCATATGTTCAGTTATTAAAAAGAAAAGCATGTCAACATGGGAAAGTGAAACTAGGAAGCCACGTAGAAGATCCGTTTCGTTGGCACACAAAAAATCATTCTTATTCAAGTAAAACGATGATTTACATATCAATGACATGAAATCATATAGACGTAGAAAAATGGCCGTTATACGATTGCACGTGCATGTCTGTGTATTTATATATATATATGTTTATATGGAGTAGTATGACAATCGGCATTCTTCGGAGGTCATCTCGAAAGTTAATTATAATTTAACAAGAATTTGTAAGGTAGACGAAATTGACTTTAAAAGGATCGTATTGAATTTTGATGTAAAAAAATAGGCTGTTCGGACATATTTTGACTTTATTTACTGACTACTTTTGTTTGGGATTAGTTTCCACAATAAAGTGCACAGGTAAATAAAAGAAAAACTTGATAGAAATCGTGTTTTCATGATCCTAACAAAAAATGTAATTATAAGTATTGAATGCTTCTTTTAGTAATTTTATAGGGTTGTAAAGGCGTTGACCGTGCGCACATTTAGAATGAAGCGCTTCTTTTTTGTTAAGATAAAGACAACTTTACCTGGCGTAGCCGTGTTTAAAATGTATTTCGGCATTTCTCTTCGAAAAATGACTTGTTTAATGGAATAAAACGTCTAATTTGCAAAATCTACTCTATATGCGGAAAATTTTGTGAAAATATGATCAGTAGCAATTCTTACACCTCATACCTTTAGTTTCATCATAGATATAATAGCCATAATGGCTATTATATCTATGGTTTCATTGATAAAAATAATATGGACTCATCCAGTGTCCAAATTGAAGGTCATTTAAGCTGGGGCTATTATAATATATTATGTAATACCGACCATGCAAGACCCTCAATGGTAGTCAAGGTCGTTATATTATCAGTCAGGATTCGATTTCGTCAAAATTATCTCCCCATTACGCCACCCAATTTTTACAATCGTAAAAATGGAAGCCATTGTAGGGATGACGCGCTTCCAATTTTGCTCTTGAAAACCGATAAATTTATCCACATAGCACCATTACGATCCTTATATGCCAGGTGTATTTTAAAAGACAAATGTATCTACTAGCTAATGAGCATCAGTTAATGTACTTGTCTGCATTCAGTCAACTTAAAACTATTGTCGGATCGGTTGTCAGGTGGAATTTTCGGAAATTCATAAACATTTAAAAAAATTCTAATTAAACATTTCGTGGAAGGGCAGACTAAAAATTTTCAGTGGTTCAAGACTATAAACCCTAATTATCACACACAAAAAATGAAGTTTTTTCGAAGATATGCATTTTGAAGATCCAACTTAAAAGTCAGTCGTCAAGTACTTTTAGTAAAACTTTGCTATTCGAACACACCTACTCAGTTTTTGTGATTCATTAGAAAGGTATTTCACTTGACCCATATATTTAATTTTTTAGTACTGTGAACTTTCGATGTTATAAAGTCAACTTGTAGCCTTGATATATAAAAATAATAGAATCTGAAGCGAGATGATGTATCAAATACTCTTGCTTTATACGTTTTCAAGACAAAATATTTAACCCAAACACGCCCTAACATAAAAAGGTGCACTCGATTTTATCTTTTCGATGCAATTGTCACCCATTTTTTTGATTTTTTTTTTTAGTTACATAATGGAAGGGCAGAAACAAAAATTAAGGAACAAATAGATTGATATGTTCTCCGTCCGTGGTAATAAAACAATAAAAATCGGAGGTTATGCATTTTTTAGATCCAACTGAATAGACACCCATGTCGTCGACTTGATAAAATGTATCTAATTGTTCTGCTTAATTATGTAATAGATAAATTGAAAACTTATGCAAATTGTGTTTTTATGATAAAATACTTCGTAATTTAGCCGAAAACTGTCATTTTATTTGTTTCTATTAACTTTTAAAAATTTTGTTACTATAGTAAACATTACAGTAAGCATTTATCGCCTTCTCTAACAAAGAACTTCGATTCTTTTGTTCTATTTCAACTGGGTTTCCGCCTGTTATGTCCCAGATTTAAGTTACTGTACACGCGTGTGTACATGTAAAAAGAAACGCAATTATAATTCAGGTTTAAGAAAACAAGTTTTTCAAATACATTTTGTTGAACATTTTCAGCTTAATAAATTAGAAAAATTAAATAAATAAGGCACCGACTGTTTATCTTTTTTTTTACATTCATGCACGTTCTGATTTATCAATATACATGTGTGAAAAAAAATCAACAGTTTGAAGGTAAACTAATAATAACTTAATCCAATCAAATTGCGTAAGATTTAATAACAATGACCGGTCCGCATCATAATAAGTAATAGGGGTAAACTGGGTAGGGAGAAAATGACAGATGTTTTAATTTCATTTTTTGTAATAACGAATAAATATTTGTCAACCAAAAGTTCTGCTATAATTTCAAAAACATGTCGTTCTGTATTGGTATAGTTTTCGAATCTTTATTATTTCATTTGCATATTTATAGCAATAGAAAGTTTGGGCTTCAAAAGTCAACATAATTATTGACTATACAGAAAATTCGCCCTTTTAAAACATTTATTGTTTCACAAATAATACATGGATTCAAATTAAAATCATTTCTTAAAACACTGCAAAAAAAATGTCATTTTGATTGGTATGTGGTATTGTCATAAAGTGCGTTGAAATAAACCGTGGTATAGCAAACATCGAATTCCCTCACAAAATGTTATCACACACTCATTTTTTTTTACAGATGGCGTCTAGTCTAAAATAATGCTACATATAAATGCTGATCCAATATAACGAGTCCATGCATTGTAAATTGTTCCTTTTGGAGTTTTTGTGATTTGGATATTTTAGACTATGTTGTAAATTAAATATGAGAATTTGGGTAAAATCGGTAAACATGAATTTGACAGATAATGCCCTTTTAAACATTTCTGCAATTATTTATCCTTCGATGTATTCATTTGTTTGAAAATAAAATCATTAAAGATTGCTACATGTTTAAAAATAATAAGTTTCAGTTTCACGATCATGATATTTTATGTTTCGAACGATCATGATATTTTATGTCTTTTTGTCGACATTTTTAGTCTTGACTCTCCATAACTACTAATTTCTAATATGAAAGGTTTTATGTCCTTTTTTGTCATATAGCTGTACAAATATCCAAGTTGCATGGCCTTCAAAATTTTGGGTTTGAACGTTCCTTGTGAAGGTACACCCAGAGAAGCTCATTGGACCGTCACTTAATGTATAACTCAAGTTAGACAAATTGTTTACATTCATTAAAGCCATTCACCCGTGATAGCAATTAAACACAATCAATAAGTATACGGGTATGTTCGTGTTTATCGCATGTCACGCCTGTGTGAGTTTTGTGTTTGACCTAAATCTAAATTCAATTGAAATGTAGGAATTCAAAGACGGTAAGGTTATTTTTATTTACATTTTTATTACATCGAATACAGATTTGATCTTTTCTTTAACTCTTTTTTCATTGAAAAGGGTTCCAAGTGAAACATAACCACCAAAATATTCAATAGGATATAAAGTAATGTACACGAGACTAAAAACTGTCATGAAATACCAGGAACTAATCAATATATCTAGGGATCAGTCTTTTATTTCCGGTTGTTTTCTTTGAATAACTCATATTTCAGTCCCATCTCTTCTCCTAGTAAGTAAGTAAGTAAATTTAATTCTGAGTCGTCACATATCATACAATCAAACATTAACATGAGCATGAGAAAGCTCTTATAACCGACTTTAGCATATTATATACAAAACATCACAATACAACAAGGTTTCAAATAAGACAAGTACACATATTCATAAAAATGTTAGAATATATGATTCTAACGACAAAAAACCTAATGGTCGAAACTGATATGTTAAACCGGTTTAACAATTATAATCAAATCAAATCAAATCATTTTATTGGTGTAAAATCTAAATATTCAAAGTTAACCAACTTTCATATTATAGAATAGAATAGAATAGAACAGAATATTTGTATTTCCCAAATTACAGGGCCCATAAAGGGCATAAAAATCAGTTACAATTGATTGACATAATTGATAATTACAACAATAGACATCACAGTGTACATGTATATTTAGTATATTAGCATCGGTCAGAATCAGAGCCATCAACCATACAAATTATGAAAACACAATTAAATATTATATAATTATATCATTATATTTAGATAAATTATCTATTGTAGTTGCAGCTGTTGTCCACTACGTAACACTTGACTGATTGTAAAACCTATATTTTCTTCTTTTACAGTTAACACAAAGACTTAACTTTTACATGTGATAACAAAGAAGAATAAAATTGATTAAAATATTCTGTCAACTAGATGTACTGATACTTGTATCAACTGAAAACGGTAAGTTAATATTTACAGTTCAAAATTTTGTATATAACAGTGGGACTTATCACCCAAATGGATTATGAAACAATCCGTTTAGGATATAAAAGCCCAAATGGGATAAATACAGTCCTTAAAAACTTACTTTTTAATTTAAGCAAAAATATTGAAAGGTTAAGAGCAATAGTAGGAACTTTTGGTAATCGAATTTTACAGAAACTGATTAAATTGCTTGATTGATCCCTTTGAAAACCACTATCCTCATAGGGGTCATTCACATTGACAATCAGGTATACAGAAAAGTTGCTGCCTTTTATGTAATCGTTTGCATTTTGTAATATCACCTCATAAATTCAAAATAAAAATTTGTGCACAGTAAATTTATATCCCAAACAGGTTATCATAACCCAATTGAGTGACTGGTCCCAAACCATCAATTAAGATTTGTATACAATAAATTAAACCTCAGCACTGAGAGCACGGACAGTTGTGGGATAATGACTACTAACAAATATAAATAGGGTAAGTATGCAGGTATATTGATTTTTTTTTAATAATGCATGGACTTTAAGAGAGGGCTGTGTTCTGGACTTCAACGGTGCTTAACCAAAAATGTCTGGACTAAGTGGACTTTAACGGTGAATAACTAAAATATGTCAGTAAAATGTGTAAGTTGGGCATATACATTTATGGTAGGTATAAAGGCAGTAAAACACAACTATATATTTTTTGGAAGTAAAAATGCTTGACAGAATGATAGATTATGAGTCAATCAAATTTCTTGGTTTAAAATCGAGATACAAAGATTCTAATGATAAAGCAGGCGGAAACCCAGTTGAAATTAAACAAAAGAAATGGAACTCTTTGTTAGAGAAGGTAAAAAAGGCCAAGTTGGTAAATTTGAATTGTTAACATCTGTTTCTATGAGCTTTAAAAGTTTAATGAATGTGCATAATTTACGATTTTGTGCATCTTATATGTGTGTGTTTTTACTTAAATTATGGTATAGAGCTTCGATATATTTGTAAACTTTTAAATTATAGACACATTTTCACAAAACAGTCGATTGGGGTAGGTCCAAATACATGTGGATCTTTTTTGTGCATAAGCATAATTTCCGCCGAAAAAAAAATCCAAAGAAAGATAATAGATTGATCTTTTCAAAGCATTAATTTGCCCCCCGGCGACAGTTTTTTTTTTGGTGAAAAATCCCCAAAATAGGCAATAATTTCATCGAAGAGAAAGTCGGGTACACCTTTCTATGTTCAGGCGTGTTTGAGTTGACTCTTCTGTCTTGCAAACGTATGAAAGAAAAATATTTGATACATCATCTCGCTTCAGATTCTATTATTTTTATATATTTAGGCTATAGGTTGATATGATAACTTTAAAAACTTACAGCACTAAGAAATGAAATATATGGGTCAAGTGAAATATCTTTCTAATGAGTCATAACAACAGAGTAGGTGTGTTCAAATGATAAATTTTTACTAAAAGTACTTGACGACAGACTTAACAAGTGGATCTTAAAAATCCATAACTTCAAAAAAAACTTCTTTTTTGTGTGTGTTATCTACGGCAATTAGTCCTCAACCTCTGAAAATTTTTAGTCTGCCCTTCCATGAAATATTTAATTAGAATTTTTTTAAATGTTTTTGAACTTTCGAAAATTCCCCCTGACAACCGATCAGACAATAGTTTTAAGTTGACCAAATGCTTAAAAGTACATTAAATGATGCTCAATAGAAAGTAGATACATTTGTCTTTTAAGATACAACTGGCATATAAGGATCGTAATGATGCTATGTGGATAAACTGATCGGGTTTCAAGAGCTAAATTGACAGTGCCTCATCACTACAATGGCTTCCATTTTTACGATTATATAAATTGGGTGGCGTAATGGGGAGATAATTTTGACGAAGTAGAATCCTGACTGAAGTACAAACACAAAAGGACGAAATCAAAATAGGTACCATATCTTTCGGTTGTTTATCTTTTTGTGTAGATGTAAGGAAAAGCATGAACACAAGACCCATTAATTAAAATTAAATAATCCATTTCTAATGCTGCAAATCTTATTGAGCAACAATCTTTAAAATAACATTCTGTTAAGTAACAAATAATTACAAATATATGTTTTTATTGGTATAAATATTGATTTTGTTATCAGTAAATTAAAATCATACTAAATAGTTTAGTTATACACATATGCACTTTAACGGTACTACAATCTGTCGATACCTTTATTTTGGCATTGCACAAGGTCATGTTTTTCTCTGACTGTTAACGACGTCTTTACACTAAATCCATTGGATGTTGGATGTGCACTGATTGATATTTTAGTCTTAGATACATGATTTTTTTTATTAGTTGTTATTGGCTTTGAACTAGCTGTCAGTAACTGCGAATACTCTCAAATCTGTACTTAATTTCCGTTTTGTTGTTAGGGATAAGGGATGGATAAATACTCTGCCACGTCCGGTCTGTGTTTATGTTTGATGTTTTTCTGCTTTGTATCGATCTGATGAGTTAAGCCTTTTTCAACTGATTTTTATAGTTTGTTCTTATGTTGTGCTGTAACACCACTGTCCCAGGTTAGGGGTAGGGTTGAGCGCTCACAAACATGTTTAACCCCGCCACATTCTTTATGTGCCTGTCCTAAGTCATGAGCCTGTAGTTCAGTGGTTGTCGTTGGTTCATGTCTGTCATATTTGTTTTTTGTAAATTGTTTTGTTATAAATAGGGCCACGGTTAGTTTTCTCAATTGAATTGTTTCATATTTTTCATGTCGGGGCCTTTTATAGCCGACTATACGGTATGGGTTTTTCTCATTGTTGAAGGCCGTACGGTTGCCTATAATTGCTTACATCCACTTTATTTGAACTTTGGTGGATAGTTGTCTCATTGGCAATCAGACCTCATCTCCTTATTTGTATTTTGTACATCTGTACCATTTATTACATGTAACTTCTGCATGCCATCAGGCTCGTAGCTACGTTTACGTCAAAACGCCCGGGCGTACACATGAATTTAGGAGAAACTAGATGTGTCGGAACGACACGAATGGCCCCACTCGCAAAAAAATCTTGAAGCCATTTTTAGGAGTAGAAATTTGAGAATGAAAGTCTGTATAACTGTTATTTTCGCTAAATTTAAAAAAAATCCAAAGCCCGTAATTTTGGCACAAATCAGAGGAGCAGAACCAAACGTTAACTCAATCTGTTACTCATCATGGAAGACTCACATACTAAAAATCAGATCAATATGTGAAGGCGTTTAGAAAAAAAAGTCCGTATAACTGTTACTTTCACGAAATTTTAAAGTACGGTATGGGTTTTTCTCATTGTTGAAGGCCGTACGGTTGCCTATAATTGCTTACATCCACTTTATTTGAACTTTGGTGGATAGTTGTCTCATTGGCAATCAGACCTCATCTCCTTATTTGTATTTTGTACATCTGTACCATTTATTACATGTAACTTCTGCATGCCATCAGGCTCGTAGCTACGTTTACGTCAAAACGCCCGGGCGTACACATGAATTTAGGAGAAACTAGATGTGTCGGAACGACACGAATGGCCCCACTCGCAAAAAAATCTTGAAGCCATTTTTAGGAGTAGAAATTTGAGAATAAAAGTCTGTATAACTGTTATTTTCGCTAAATTTTTAAAATCCAAAGCCCGTAATTTTGGCACAAATCAGAGGAGCAGAACCAAACGTTAACTCAATCTGTTACTCATCATGGAAGACTCACATACTAAAAATCAGATCAATATGTGAAGGCGTTTAGAAAAAAAAGTCCGTATAACTGTTACTTTCACGAAATTTTAAAAGTCCAAAGCCCGTAATGTCGGAAAAAATCAGCGGAGCGGAACCAAACATAAACTCGATCTGTAACTCATCATAGAAGACTCATATACTAAAGATCAGCTCAGTTGGAACAGTAAAGCTGCAACAGGAAATTAGGAAACACAACAGATAAGTCATTGTCAAAAAAATCATCCTATTCAACTCTGAAATTTTTCTTTAAGTGTGTTCTTCAGAAATCCTTATGTAAAATTCCAACAGTATAATTGTTACTCTTTTGGAATTTGAGTAACTTTGACGTTTTTACTGGGATGACCTTGAGATGGCAGTTTCTGAGTGTGCCTTTTTAAAAACACCCATTACTGCATATAAATACGCTGACGTTATCGAGTGCAGAATGGAATTCTTTATCGCTTCATATATATTAATAGCATCAATGAAAGTTCATGAAAATATTTTTTTTGGAACGTTTATCTGTAATTAACATGTTTCGTCTTGAGAAATATATATCAGTAAAAAACATCATAATAACGAACAGGTACCTTGATAACATCGGTCATCTTAGTACTCATAATGCACGTGGATGAATTTTAAGAATTGTATGCATGTTCCTTGCATAACAATATTGTATAACAATATGATGGACACACTTATACAGAGTTTGATTTATTCGCCAGCATCAGATCTTGATCCGAGTAAACAGCAAATCAGTACTTTGATTACAATTTGTATTTATAATTGAAATGTGACCCCAAACGGGATTTTGTAGAGGGATGCTGTAAGATCTTCGAGTTGGTATAGTGTAGTGAACAGAAAATTAAGATGCAATTTCAATGAAATTGACTTTAGCTGATTATTGAAGTTCGTACAGTAACCTTTAGTCCGTTTGTCTTTTACTGGCCAGTTGTCTCATTGGCAATAACGCGACATCTCCTTGTAATATATTAAGGCGAAATTTCAGGACATAAGTTCTTTATCTTGAAAATAAAAATAAGAATTCATGTTTGAAAAGACGAAAACTCCCAGTGGGAAATCTAGTGACAAAATATTACCTCCCCTGTAAACACTGAAAACTAGATCTTTTCAATGTTTGTCCCATTTTAGCAAGGACGCTATCAATTATAAATTGACGGGAAAACGTTCTGGTAAATAATAAAAAAAAGAAATAGGTTGAAATAAAAACAAAACTTCCATTTAATGTTATCATTTC